GATATAACGCAGTCTCTTGACTTAACCGTTTTCAGCCCGCTCGGTGCAACGCACTATCCCGATGCTACCGATTTAAACCCAGATGTACTAGATTTTGCGTTACTCAAAGGAGTTTCACTCAACCTCAGGTCTATTGAGACACTAGACGATATAGGATCCGATCACCGACCGGTCTCTCTTATTCTTGGCCATCAGCCACCCCCTATTATAACTACGAAAACCTTCACTAACTGGAAGGGTTTCAAGGACTCACTAGCAAAAGCTATGGACTCGCAGGACTCCCCTAATTACCTATCGTCGGACTTAGACTTAGACAGTCCTGTAAAAATCGACACCGCGGTCGAATCACTTTCAACCCTAATTAAATCCTCCCTTAAGGAGAATGAAAGGGTCGTTCCGGTTGCTAATACTAATGGGCTTCCCCTATATATTAGCAACATATTAAAAGCTAAAAAAGCTGCTTTCCGGAGAGCAGCTAAATATCCCACCCCCGAATATAGGCATACGGCTAATCGTCTTCAACGAAAACTCCGTTCGCACCTTTATGAATTTCGAGAGCTCCAAAGGAGTGAACTCATGGAGAATATATCTCCCTCACATACAGCGTACTATCAGATGGCTAGAGCCCTCCGTATAGACGCTACAACTCACACTCCCCCTCTCTCCCGCCCCGACGGTACGGTTGCCTTCGAGGACGACGAGAAGGCTGAGTGCTTTGCAGACAGCATTGCCGCACAATGCTCTCCTAGCTCTCAACCTGTCGACCCCTCACATATTCAGGAAGTGGAGGATGAGGTCCGCCGCCGGAACTCACCCCCCACAACCTCTGACCCTATCACTGTGTCCAATGATGAGATCTCGTCCCTCATCAAAGGACTTAAGCCCAAAAAATCTCCGGGCGCGGATGGCATATCCAACCAAGCCCTTAAATACTTTCCAGAGCAGGTGTTAACCCTCTTAGCTATTATCTTTAACGCCTGTTTTAATCTTAGTTACTTTCCCACTTCTTGGAAAGAGGCAATTGTCATTGGTATTCCCAAGCCAGGCAAGCCTCTTAACCTCCCCTCCAGTCATCGTCCCATTAGCCTCCTAAAGGCCATGGGCAAACTCTTTGAAAGAGTCATTCAAAATCGAATGAGGCGCCATCTGTTTCCCACAGACGGTGACCCCATTGTCATCCCACACCAATTTGGTTTCCGCGCAAAACACTCGTGTCCACAACAGGTACACCGCATTGTGGAATATATCCTCAGCGGTTTTTATCCACGTCGACTAAAGACAATCGCGGTCTTTTTCGACATTGCCAAAGCCTTCGACCGAGTCTGGCATGAAGGCCTTATTTTCAAATTATATAGGATAGGACTCTCCGATCGTCTAGTACGTCTCGTAGCCTCTTATTTACAACATCGTACCTTTCGTTTTAGACACGAAGGCACGTTATCCTCTCAGCGCCCCATTAAAGCTGGTGTTCCTCAAGGATCAGTACTAGCTCCCCTCCTGTACATCTTGTACACCAACGACATTCCTATCCCGTCGAATGGTGTACAGCTCTCACTCTTCGCAGATGACACTGCACTATACTTCAAAAGTCCTAGAATATCTTCAGCAAGGAACAAGATCCAAAAGTCAGTCGATGACCTAGGAGACTGGTTCCAAAAATGGCGTATCGATGTGAACCCGGAGAAGAGCTCCGCAGTTCAATTCGATATTAAAAGACGCCGTAATAAAAACAAGAAAAATACTCCACCTATACGAATGCTAGGGACCCCTGTCCCATGGCACATGTCAGCAAAATATTTAGGCGTCACCCTTGACTATAGGCTTACTTTTGAGTCTCATGTCAAAAGAGTAACGCGTCTAGCACGTTTCTATTTAGGTCGGCTTAACAGTATGTTAGGCAGACATAGCAAAATGTCATTACGAAATAAGCGAACCCTCTATAAGGTTTGTATACGACCGGTTATGACTTACTCGGCTCCTATTTTTGCACACGCTAACGATAAAATTATTAACGAACTCCAAGTAGTTCAAAACCTCTTCTGTCGTCGAGCTACGAACGCACCTTGGTACGTCCGTAATGCCGACCTTCACCGGGATTTAGAAATCCCAACAATCCAGCAATGTCTTAAAAAATTCTCTGAAAACTTCTTTAAAGTATCAGAGTCGCATACTAACACACTTATTCGTGAGGCAGTTACTTATACCGCCCCACTCCCTTCTCGCTATAGCGTCCGCAGGCCGAGAAACACTCTCTCGGACCCGCCAAATAAGTTGTCAAACGACCTGAACTGCCTCCTGGCGGCTCAGGCCAATCCTAATTAAATTAAAAATTAGTTAAAATTAATAATATGCCTTCGTAGGCAGTCCCTAAACGGCACTTAGCCGTCTGCGCCCTCTTTTCCCAAAAGAGGGTCGCTTTAGATACGGCATATGCAGCTTTAATAGAGCTAGTTGCCAGTCCCCAAAGGCGGTTTTTAGTGGGTATCACTTAGGTCCCCCGGTAGGCAGTGAGTCCCACATAACCAGGACAGACCGGCTGTCGTGGTATGCGTAATGCATTTTCCGCCTCCCTTCGGGGTAGCCCATTTCCAATTGCTTCGGGCGCAAAAAAAAAAAAAAAAAGTTTAAAAAAATTAGTTTATATCGGTGTTGACGTCGTCTATATAGAGACGAGTGTTTAATTTTCTACATTTCTAGAATTTTATTATTACGTATTAACGACAATGTCTGGACGTGGTAAAGGCGGTAAAGTGAAGGGAAAGGCAAAGTCCCGTTCGAATCGTGCCGGTCTACAATTCCCCGTTGGACGTATTCACAGGCTGCTGCGAAAGGGAAATTATGCAGAGCGTGTGGGTGCCGGCGCTCCGGTGTACCTGGCCGCAGTCATGGAGTACCTCGCCGCTGAAGTTCTAGAGTTGGCCGGTAACGCTGCTCGGGACAATAAGAAGACCAGAATCATACCGAGACATCTTCAGCTTGCCATCCGCAACGATGAAGAGTTGAACAAGCTCCTCTCCGGTGTGACGATCGCCCAGGGCGGTGTACTACCCAACATTCAGGCGGTCCTTCTTCCCAAGAAGACCGAGAAGAAGGCCTAAACGAGTGTGTACACTACTCCCGTCGCATTACTACACCACACCACTAGGCCCAAGAAAATGGTTGAGAACTTTAGACGAGAGTATGCGTCGACGTTTTATCGATCGGTAATGCCCTAATTGTACTATATACGTATTGCATATTCTGTTTTACGCTCTTTAGTATAATAATGGTGCATTCGCCGTCCGTCGACTCGTGTCTCTACTGCTCTATTGTTATCTACCGTTCGTGGTGGTTGGTACGTGATTAAAAGGCCCTTTTGAGGGCCACAAATACTATCGATAATTTATAAATTTAGTCTCTTAGAATGCGAACGTTCTTTAAAGCCTCTTTCCTCAGTTCCTCCTATACTATACCTTATTCCTTTTTGTACGCTATTACTTTCTATTGGTAATGGTAACGATAAGACGAAAGCCATATTTATTATGAATTAATAATAATCAATAGACTAAAAGGTAAAAAAAAAAAAAAAAAAAATATTTTTTTTTTTTTTTTAAGAGAAACATATATAAATACTTACCGTTCAACATATTATGTAGTAAAAATCTCTTATGAACTTCACCGTTGCCGTTGGCTTTAGATGGATTAGAGGATTGCCTCGCCGCGATAAATGGACTCAATGTATTATGTTAATTATAAATTTACATGCATTATTAAAACATTATCAGTAGTTATTTTATTATTATAAAATATTCGATAATGATTTATTTTATTAAAATAATTGGGTATTAGTATAATTATATATTACTTATATTGGAATGTTTAATAAAATAAAATTTGCGTTCTTTCTAAACTAATCTTCCGCCCGTATCCCCTACTCTCTACCCTACCCCTTCCATTTGTCCGGGCAAACTGGTCGTTGATTGGTTGATCTACACTCGATACGCTCGTTAGACCACTAGCTAGTAGAGTCACCGTGATAGTCGTTATATAAGAAAAAAAAAATTTTGTGTTGTTCAGTGATAATTTAGTATTATCCGTGATCACATTTACATTAAATATTCTTCAAGATGCCGCCGAAAACTAGTGGTAAAGCCGCCAAGAAGTCTGGTAAGGCACAGAAAAACATCTCGAAGTCGGATAAGAAGAAGAAGAAGCACAAGAGGAAGGAGAGTTACGCCATCTACATCTACAAGGTGCTCAAGCAGGTGCATCCCGATACTGGTATATCCAGTAAAGCGATGTCCATAATGAACTCTTTCGTTAACGACATCTTCGAACGCATAGCCGCAGAGGCCTCGCGCTTGGCTCATTACAACAAGCGTTCGACTATTACTTCACGGGAAGTGCAGACCTCCGTGAGACTGCTGTTGCCCGGTGAACTCGCCAAGCACGCCGTGTCAGAGGGCACCAAGGCAGTCACCAAATACACCAGCTCCAAGTAAGGTCGGTGATTGGTGTGTGTTTTAGGTGTATTTCAAAGGCCCTTTTCAGGGCCACAAAATATATCGTATTACTATCCGTTTCTCATAATAACGTCACCCTACATTTCGCTCGTTCGTCCGCTACGCTAAGAGTATTTATTCTTTTATAGATATACCTCGCATGCAAATGTACAATTTTAAAATACTTACATACAACTAATACATAAAAGGATACGAAAAAAAATAAAAAATAATAATAATAATAATAAAGGGATCTTATTTGAAATTACGTAAAATAAATTTAGAATAGTCTACTTAATAACTAGAAATCTGCTATAATACGCGCCTATGAGAGCTTAATAACTATTAGATATAATTATAACCTACAATTTAAGACACAAACGATATTTTTATTACAAGGAGTATATTTTGAGCAAGATATTAGTGATTTCATATGAAATTAAGACCTCGAGGGTTCTCTATAATGCAAATATCATAATATTGTATATTATTATTATTATTTAAAAGTTTTTAATACGAATGCTTGGTCTACCCGATATTCACGATGAAGTAAAAACGGAGAGGGGGGGGGGGGGGGGGAGGAAAAGAGATGGGTAGAGAAGTCTCGCCTGTAACCGCACATTTGTCGACCATATAAAAGCGTCGCCACTCGCGACGATTTCAGTATCCCGCGCGTTGAGAACGTATAGTCGTATAGTGAATATATTGTGTATTAGTTGAGTTAGTGTAACGTAACAATGGCACGTACTAAGCAGACCGCTCGGAAATCCACCGGTGGTAAAGCGCCGCGTAAACAACTGGCCACCAAAGCAGCCCGTAAGAGCGCACCAGCAACCGGCGGTGTTAAGAAACCACATCGCTACAGGCCCGGTACCGTCGCTCTCCGTGAGATTCGTCGCTACCAGAAGAGCACCGAGCTCCTCATCCGCAAATTGCCGTTCCAACGTTTGGTGCGTGAAATCGCTCAGGATTTCAAGACCGACCTCCGCTTCCAGAGCTCCGCCGTGATGGCCCTTCAAGAGGCTAGCGAAGCTTACCTAGTCGGGTTGTTCGAAGATACCAACTTATGCGCGATTCATGCAAAACGCGTAACCATTATGCCGAAAGACATACAGTTGGCGCGCAGAATTCGCGGTGAACGAGCTTAATAAACTCTACTCTACCGATTGTGTTGTGAACTACGTTTAATTTTTAACATCAATCATCGATTGGCAGTGTGAAAGTGGCAATATTAAATATGCCTCATTAACAACAACTACACGTTGACAAGATGATGATGATTGTGTTGGTTTTAACGTATGTTCTCTTTCACTTTCATAAAAGGCCCTTTTCAGGGCCGCATATGTTTCTACACAATAAACTGTGCGTTTCTTTAGAATATAAGAGAACGTTAAACGAGCAAGTAATAGATAGATAGATAGATAGATAGATAGATAGATAGATGGTATGGTATGGTATGGTAATATTATGAGATAACAAAAACTATTACGGATCGCCGTAATGCCGTGCGAAAAATGGAATAAAACGCGCTGGTCTTGCTTTTAACTGGAGGCAAGCGGCGGTGAGGAGGAACTTGTACTTTTTCTTTTCTTGCTGGTGCCTTTTCGGTGGCTGGAGAGCGACTGCTGACCCTAGTTTTTTTTTTTTTTTTTTTTTTGCGCCCGAAGCAATTGGAAAAGGGCTACCACTGAGGGAGGCGGAAAATGCATTATGCATACCACGACAGCCGGTCTGTCCTGGTTATGTGGGACTCACTGCCTACCGGGGGACCTAAGTGATACCCACTAAAAACCGCCTTTGGGGACTGGCAACTAGCTCTATTAAAGCTGCATATGCCGTATCTAAAGCGACCCTCTTTTGGGAAAAGAGGGCGCAGACGGCTAAGTGCCGTTTAGGGACTGCCTACGAAGGCATATTATTAATTTTAACTAATTTTTAATTTAATTAGGATTGGCCTGAGCCGCCAGGAGGCAGTTCAGGTCGTTTGACAACTTATTTGGCGGGTCCGAGAGAGTGTTTCTCGGCCTGCGGACGCTATAGCGAGAAGGGAGTGGGGCGGTATAAGTAACTGCCTCACGAATAAGTGTGTTAGTATGCGACTCTGATACTTTAAAGAAGTTTTCAGAGAATTTTTTAAGACATTGCTGGATTGTTGGGATTTCTAAATCCCGGTGAAGGTCGGCATTACGGACGTACCAAGGTGCGTTCGTAGCTCGACGACAGAAGAGGTTTTGAACTACTTGGAGTTCGTTAATAATTTTATCGTTAGCGTGTGCAAAAATAGGAGCCGAGTAAGTCATAACCGGTCGTATACAAACCTTATAGAGGGTTCGCTTATTTCGCAATGACATTTTGCTATGTCTGCCTAACATACTGTTAAGCCGACCTAAATAGAAACGTGCTAGACGCGTTACTCTTTTGACATGAGACTCAAAAGTAAGCCTATAGTCAAGGGTGACGCCTAAATATTTTGCTGACATGTGCCATGGGACAGGGGTCCCTAGCATTCGTATAGGTGGAGTATTTTTCTTGTTTTTATTACGGCGTCTTTTAATATCGAATTGAACTGCGGAGCTCTTCTCCGGGTTCACATCGATACGCCATTTTTGGAACCAGTCTCCTAGGTCATCGACTGACTTTTGGATCTTGTTCCTTGCTGAAGATATTCTAGGACTTTTGAAGTATAGTGCAGTGTCATCTGCGAAGAGTGAGAGCTGTACACCATTCGACGGGATAGGAATGTCGTTGGTGTACAAGATGTACAGGAGGGGAGCTAGTACTGATCCTTGAGGAACACCAGCTTTAATGGGGCGCTGAGAGGATAACGTGCCTTCGTGTCTAAAACGAAAGGTACGATGTTGTAAATAAGAGGCTACGAGACGTACTAGACGATCGGAGAGTCCTATCCTATATAATTTGAAAATAAGGCCTTCATGCCAGACTCGGTCGAAGGCTTTGGCAATGTCGAAAAAGACCGCGATTGTCTTTAGTCGACGTGGATAAAAACCGCTGAGGATATATTCCACAATGCGGTGTACCTGTTGTGGACACGAGTGTTTTGCGCGGAAACCAAATTGGTGTGGGATGACAACGGGGTCACCGTCTGTGGGAAACAGATGGCGCCTCATTCGATTTTGAATGACTCTTTCAAAGAGTTTGCCCATGGCCTTTAGGAGGCTAATGGGACGATGACTGGAGGGGAGGTTAAGAGGCTTGCCTGGCTTGGGAATACCAATGACAATTGCCTCTTTCCAAGAAGTGGGAAAGTAACTAAGATTAAAACAGGCGTTAAAGATAATAGCTAAGAGGGTTAACACCTGCTCTGGAAAGTATTTAAGGGCTTGGTTGGATATGCCATCCGCGCCCGGAGATTTTTTGGGCTTAAGTCCTTTGATGAGGGACGAGATCTCATCATTGGACACAGTGATAGGGTCAGAGGTTGTGGGGGGTGAGTTCCGGCGGCGGACCTCATCCTCCACTTCCTGAATATGTGAGGGGTCGACAGGTTGAGAGCTAGGAGAGCATTGTGCGGCAATGCTGTCTGCAAAGCACTCAGCCTTCTCGTCGTCCTCGAAGGCAACCGTACCGTCGGGGCGGGAGAGAGGGGGAGTGTGAGTTGTAGCGTCTATACGGAGGGCTCTAGCCATCTGATAGTACGCTGTATGTGAGGGAGATATATTCTCCATGAGTTCACTCCTTTGGAGCTCTCGAAATTCATAAAGGTGCGAACGGAGTTTTCGTTGAAGACGATTAGCCGTATGCCTATATTCGGGGGTGGGATATTTAGCTGCTCTCCGGAAAGCAGCTTTTTTAGCTTTTAATATGTTGCTAATATATAGGGGAAGCCCATTAGTATTAGCAACCGGAACGACCCTTTCATTCTCCTTAAGGGAGGATTTAATTAGGGTTGAAAGTGATTCGACCGCGGTGTCGATTTTTACAGGACTGTCTAAGTCTAAGTCCGACGATAGGTAATTAGGGGAGTCCTGCGAGTCCATAGCTTTTGCTAGTGAGTCCTTGAAACCCTTCCAGTTAGTGAAGGTTTTCGTAGTTATAATTGGGGGTGGCTGATGGCCAAGAATAAGAGAGACCGGTCGGTGATCGGATCCTATATCGTCTAGTGTCTCAATAGACCTGAGGTTGAGTGAAACTCCTTTGAGTAACGCAAAATCTAGTACATCTGGGTTATAATCGGTATTATCGGGATAGTGCGTTGCACCGAGCGGGCTGAAAACGGTTAAGTCAAGAGACTGCGTTATATCACGCAGTATCCTACCATTAGTATTAATCGTACGGCATGTCCATTCAGTATGTTTAGAGTTGAAATCTCCAAACATAATGACTGAATTACTTTGAGATAAGATTGCCTCAAAATCATCTTTGAGGGGGAGGTTTTTAGGGGGAATGTAACAGGAGGCTATGACTAAGGACTGATGTCCCGTCATAGATATCCTGCATAACGTAGCTTCCATATTGGTAAGCTGTGGAGTATCAATAAGAGAGCAATGTAGTGTCTTCTTGTAATAAATGGCCGTGCCGCCGCCTCGGCGGTCGTGCCTATCATTACGAAGAAGAGAATAATTTTTAATGGATAAGCCTTTATTGTCTGTGTGTTTAAGATTGGTTTCCTGTAAGAGGAGAAAATCAGCTTCGCGATCTTTAAGGAAGAGCTTAAGCTCTGGGAGATTATTACGCAATCCGCGAATATTAAATGAAATAAGCGATAGCCCTTTGGGCTTGATACGACCGTGACTTCTAGGCAGAGCAGAAGGCTCTGTCATTATAAGCTAAGTTAATTAAGTTAACTTAGCTTACAACGAACGCAATAAATTACTGTGTTCTGCGAGAGCCAAAAGCCGGTCCTGAGGGGATCGGGCGGCGCGCAGTTTACTCGCTAAAACCGAGATTTCGTTAATGTCGATGTTCCTTATCGCGGCGTAAACAGTGTTAAAGTCATCGCCTATTGTCGACTGTTTCTGCTGCGGAGCAGAAAATACCTGTGGCGGTGGATCTACCTTTTTGGGGCCCCAGGCAAAAACTGGAGCCTGCATAGGCTTTGAGAAGCCCGGTGGTGGCCTAAGCGGTGCCTGCGGTGGTCTCGGGGGACCCTGAGGGGGTCGTGCAAAGCCCTGAGACGGCTGAGATACGCCCTGACGGGGCTTCCTAACATATAAGGCCGGGAATGAACGGTCATTTACCGGCGGTGGTGCCTGTCTTGCTATGCGCGGACGAGGAGCGCACGGGCATCCTCTGTAGCTCGCCGGGTGGCCTGTCTGTTGACACAGGACGCACGCGGGCGGGGATACGGCATCTTTAGGCCGGGGACACTCTTTGGTGATGTGTGGATCTAGGCACTTAACGCACCTGGGTGGGGCGGAGCAATTGGCCGCCGCGTGACCATATAGTTGGCAGCGGTGGCACTGCGCCGGGAAACCGCGCCTATGCGGTGACTCAACCCTAACTCCCGACAAGCCGCACACCGTGCGTACTTGCCGGAAGATGGTTTGCGCCTCCGGAACGTTGGTTAAGATAGCTAAGACTATCGGGTATCTCAACCCGGTCCTACTGTGCATTTTATGAACAGCTTCGACGGGGAATCCTTGTGACTTAAGGTCATCAAGAATCTCCTCGTTGGAGAGTTCGAACGGGACGCCTCGGATGACGGCCTTGACTTTACGCTCTTCCGGAAGAGCGTATGTATGGTATGATACTCGTTCGTTAGTAAAAAGCCTAGTGAGTCGGCGAAAATCATCAATAGATTGGGGAACTATTTTTATCGCTACGCCCATGTTCGTAGCTATGTCATATTTAATTCCAGAGTCGTAGCATACCTTGCTCAGTCTAGTGAACTCGGCCTTGTCTCTCAAAAAGACAGGGGGCGGAACTGGTTTTTTCGCGAGTTGCGGAGCGCAACGTGAAGCCGGCTTCGACGGCGCTGCAATATCTAAGGGGGTCGAGGCAGCGGCGGGGGCTGCGGAGGTAGACGCGGCAGCGGCGGGGGCTGCGGGGGTGGGGGGAGCGGCACGGGCCGCTTCGGCGGGGGGCGAACGGTTTTTCGCGGCGCGCTTCGCTGCGCGCTTAGACGACACCGTGGTGTACGACGATGTATTGGAGTCACCGGTATCATCGGAGTCAGAGGACTCCGATGTCCTGGTGCCGGACTGTTTGGCAGGCCTCTTCCGGGAGGCAGATGTTGATGACGCGGAATCGGAGTGAGAGCACTCCATGTCGATTTCGAGCGGCGCGAACGAATTACGTGACGCGAGGTAGTCCGCTATAACGGGCGGCGGTGCCTGAAGGGCGGGAGGAGCCAGAAGGGCTGTGATGGCTGCTGTAAGAGCTTGCGGGTCATTATGAAACCTATGGGCTATATCGATCAGGGGACCTAATAAATTCTGCAAGGACATTGTCGTTGGGGACTAACTAACAACTAACAAACTAAAAATAAACTAAAAACTATTAGCACTATCGTATGACGTGGGGGATCACCGTTCTCAAAAGAACGGGACGCTCTTATTCCAAGAAACAGACCCCTGTTCTCAAAGAACAGGGACTTGCTCTGAAAAGAGCAAGTAACGTTTTACAAGAAACAGATACACGGAATATAATAAACAGATATGTAATAAAATATACTAATAAACTTATACACTAGTATCTAGTGTTCTACAATATAAACAAGCGGTCAGCCAACCTCCCCGACCGAGGGCGGGGGGGTGAGAACTGAAAGTTAGCAGGAAAACACTTACCGGACTTCAGCGCTAGGCGCCCACTATCTGAAAAGCGCGAGGCGCGGAGCGGGGGGCACTAGCGTTGGGACGCTAGGCACGCGAACTACCTGTACACAACCGCTCGGGGGCGGTGCAACAGGCGGAATGTTGACCCTAGCGGCCGGCCCGTCTTTTATATGATTTGGCCGCTGCTGGCCAGCGGACCCTTGCCTCACCCCCGCGCCTATCTTTATTTATTTAATAACCTTACAAACTAATAAACATAATTCACTATATAATATTCTTATAACTACTTGTTAGACTAGGGTGTACATATCAATATTTTTACTTATTTACAGGTTTACATTATAATTTTCAGCTGCTTTAGGCGGAGAATCCTTCCCCCCGCCTCAGCACTATAAATATAAAACGTCGTGGCGCGGTGCGCGTGGCTTCATTTGCTCCGCGGCCGCGTCACGATAACATGCTCTTTGGTTACACTACTACTATTTTTTTATGTGCCTAACGGCCTAATATATTTATTATATAATAAAGTAAACATTTATTATATTTAACAATTACAGTTTTCATTTGAAGACTATGCTAACTCTCCCTGTTCATACGGTGCCTTTATTTGGGAGAGTTATTGCACAGTTACAACTCAACCTTAAACTTAGTTATAATACAATCATTATTTTTTATCGTTCGATACAAGTAATACAATTATTTACACAAATTATAATTTAAATTCAACATAAGGTTGCGCTAGTCCCGCCGTATAACCCTTGCTAGTTGTCGAACCAGAGGCGTGGCCTGATAATTACACCGTCGTCATGGCTCCGCCCACCGCTCCTAGGTTGTTCAACTAGCGCCGGTTACAATAAGCATTTTCTTTCGTTTGTTTAATATTGTTGCGTCGTGCACATTCTCCCGCCGTCGCCACGCTGCGATCCCTCTGGTAGCACGACGATCTTCTTCGTTGGTCTTCTTAGTATGTGCCCACTGCCGGTGGTTACGTCCACTACTCGTACCTCTCCGTCGACGCCAGGATATACCTTACTTATTTTCCCTCTGGGCCAGGTGTTGCGTGGTAGATTGGAGTCACAAATGATGACTAGGTCTCCAATCTTCGGCGATACTCCTACGCTGCTGGGCTCCCGCCGGTGTTGGAGTAGGGGCAGGTATTCTTTAACCCATCTTCTCCAAAACACGTCGGCTAGGGCTTGAGCTCGTTTCCATTGCTGGCGGGCCGTCACGTCATTCTTGCTGAAGTGTCCCGGCGCAGGTACGTGCGAGTTGGGACCGATGAGGATGTGATTCGGCGTGATGGCTTCAGGGTCTCCTGGGTCGACTGAGACGTGTGTGAGAGGTCTGGAGTTTACAGTATTTTCGACCTCGGCGAGCAGGGTCCCCAATGTTTCGTCGCTGGGATAGCGCTCGTTGAGGGTGACGCGTAGGGCTTCTTTTACGGAGCGAACCATTCGCTCCCATACGCCGCCCATGAACGGTGCTGATGGCGGTATGTACTTCCACACAATCTGTTGACACGTGGTTTCGTGCTCGAGGGCTGCAAGTGCTGCTTCGGCCATCTCCTTGTCTGCTGCCTTGAAGCACGTAGCGTTGTCACTCCATATTTCTTTTGGGCATCCTCTTCTGCTCATAAAACGCCTAAGTGCCGACACGGCTGAGTCTGCGCTCAACGAGTGGGCTACTTCTATGTGTATTGCTCGCGACGTCATGCAGGTAAATAACGCGCCATAGCGCTTTTCGCGATGTCGTCCCACTGTGACTTCTATTGGCCCGAAGTAGTCTAGTCCGGTGTATGTGAACGGACGTGCGTGATGAGCGAGGCGTGCGGACGGCAGGTTTCCTGTAGACGGTGATGCAGGCTTGGCTTTTCTTAGACGGCACGGCAGGCATCCTTTGACGACAGTTTTCACTACTGGACGTATTTTTCTTACGTACAATCTCTGTCTTAATTCATTCACAACTGTTTCTACGCCTCCGTGATGCAGCCTCTCGTGTACGTGTGCTATGTACAGGCGAGTGTATGCGTGCTTCCCGTCTAATATGGGAGGGTCGTACATGTCGTCCTCCACTTCTGATGCCGCTTTTATTCGACCTCTGAGGCGTAGGGTCCCCTCTTCATCAATGTATGTGCTCAGGTGGCCTAGTTTGTCGTCGCCTCCCGGAACACTTCCGCTGGTGATTCTCTTGAGCTCCTTCGTGAAGCTTTCCCGCTGACTGGCTTGCACCCACAGTTGTTCTGCTCTCATATGATAAGCGGCCGGTATTCCTACAAGCGATGAGGCAGTAGGAGTCGCCTTTTTCTCCTTGGCGGGGGTGTTGCGTTTGTTTGTTCTCTGCCAGCCAGGGTCGCTACCTTGTCTTGCTTTGTTGCGTTTACGCCCAGCCTTCACTACGTGCTTGTTTGGTCTGCACATGTCGATGAATAGGAGGACTCTCGCTGTCGCCCTTATGAGGCGAATCCATTTAGAAAATCTTCCTATCTGTGGAAGATGTGTTGTTGTCGAGTCTTCACTTTTAACAGCGATTTTACATATTTCTCGCTTTTCCCCGGTGTCATATTGTGTCGTTTTCTCTTCCTGCGGCCATTCTGCCGGTGGACGCTGCAGAAACGGGGGCCCTCGGAACCATCGGTGCGACTCGTCGAACCCTTCTGGTGTGGCTCGGGTTGCGTCGTCTGCCACGTTTTCTTTAGACGGTAGCCAACGCCATTCGTTCTTTTTGGTCGTATCTTCTTTGCGCACTTTAATCTGCATGAACATTTCTTTTATATCGGCGCTCACTGCATACGGATACTGTCGGAACCTCATGATCACTCCGGGCAGTGATTGTAATAAGTCGGACCCCGAGTGAAGCATATCGTTGAGACATATTCCGGCTGTCTTCGCTGCGGCGTCGTGTACCAATCTCGGCGGCTTGTTCGGTTTCGCAGGGTTGATGACTGGGAAGTGTGGCAGATACCATGTCCTTCCTTGCGGCGGTGGCATTGGCGCGCGCTCTGCGTAACCCGAGTTGAAGAGGTTCTCGATGCGTTCTTCGTACTGTAGCTTGAGATTGCTGTCTCGGTCGAGCCTCTTCTCTAAGGTGTGCAGGCGCCTTTCCGCTTCTTTATAATTATTTGGTATTTGGAAGTCCTTTTGTTTCCACAACAACCCTGTCTCGAATCTGCCGTCCGCTGACCTCTGGCTGGTTTCGTCCAATATTTGCATGGCTCGCTGCTCGGGATCTTCTTTCGGTCTTCTCGGCTCGATGCACAGCGACTCCAATTTGAAATAATTTTTTATTTCTTCTTCTATCGGTGGTGCATCTTCCCTCTGATGTAGTCTGCCGCAGAAGGTGACCGTCGACGTCAATGAGCTATGACAGCCATGCAGAACCCAGCCCAGGTTGGTGTATGAGGCGACTGGTTGGTCTCGACGGCCGACGCGCAGTTTTCTAGATACTATGAGGTGCCAGTTATCTTGCCCGATTAGTACTTTCGGTGAGGCGCGTTCGTAGGTGATATCCTCTTTGATATCCAACAGATGTGGGCAATTCCCCAAGTGATCTTCATTCACGGATTCTGGCGCGAAGTCCAACCGCTCTACAGTACGCGCTGCTTCTATGTTGTGTTCTTCTTGCGCGTACGTTCCTCTTATTTTAAAGCTGACGATCTTGCTCTTCTCGTGTTTCACCTCCGAGCCGACCCCTTGTATCCACATTGTGTGGGCTGGGCCGTCGGCGCCGATGACGTCGGCGATTGAGGCATCGACTAAGGTGACCGTGCTCCCTTCATCCAATAATGCGTATGTTTCGACGCAGCTTAGCGGCCCCCTTATTGTTACGGGCGCAATCTTTAGGTAAGCGCGGCGGTGCTTGTACGGTCGAGTCGCTGTGTTGACCTCCTTTGCCGATGTTGCGGTTTCCATAGCGGGTTCTTTTTCCATTACTGCTGTTCTGTCGTGATGCAACAATTTATGGTGTTTCATCATGCATCCGCCTTTTCCGCACGGTGGAGCTTTGCACAGTAATCGACGATGCTTGCCTCGCAGACAGCGGTAGCAGATATTGTACTTCTTTGCTACTTCCCATCTGTCATTTGTGGACAGAGCGGCGTATGACTTGCAATCGGGCAGTTTGTGTTCTTGTTTGCATTGAGGGCAGCGTTCTTCATATGGTTTCTTGCTTGTGGCGAAGGCACGTTCTATTTTTCTCGGTCTTCGCTCTCTCGTTTCGCTGTCCTCTGCGATGAACTCCGGCAAGGCATACGCGCTGCATTTATCCGCTTCTTCGTTTAAGAACATTGATATCTTCTTAAGCTCTGGGATATCTTCTTTCTTTCTGGCTGCATAGTCGTACCATTTGCTTTTCAATATGGGCGTGAGTTTGTCTGTGATAACTCGCGTCATTTCTGGACTATGCAGATAGTGTGCTTTCTTGAGTGCTTCCACGGTGCCCACTACGTTCGCTATGCGATTTGCGAATATGCATAGCTCCCTGGGATTGTCCGTAACTTTGTTCAGCAGCTTCAGCTTCTCTATTTCCAAGTGAATTAACGCTTCTGGTCGTCCGAATCTCCTTTCCAAAGCTTCTATTATAATTCTGGGATCTGGTTGGCTTATAAGTAGGCAACCTGCGGCTTCTTTTGCTGTCCCTTTTAAGCTTCGGCGTATTCTCGCTATGTTTTCGTTCGCCGTGAAGTACTTTGAAGATTCTTCGTACATTGTCTTGAAGCTGAGCCACTCCTTGCTGCTACCATTGAATGAGGGCAGCTCTTGTATATATTTCGGCGGCTCCCTTGTGCTTCGTACTGCTTGTGATAGAGCAGCGGCTAAGGTAGCGACGTCGATTTGCTGCTGCGCCTGTCCATAGTCTTCTTTCTGCGGCGCGGTATGTTGCGGAGCGTATTGCGGCGCACACTGTTGAAGTACGGGTGGTGCGATCTGCAGTGCTGGTTGCGGCGCGAAGTACGACGTGGGTTGCGGCGCGGGCTGCGGCGCGGGTTTTGGCGCGGGTTGTGGCGCGGGCTGAGGCGTAGGTTTTTCTTGCAACCATGTACTAATGCGCACTGATGCCAAATCGTCTTCTATTTCTTCATCTTCATCGGTTGATCCGGCTTCTGCTTGTAGTCGCTGCACGCGTATTTCTTGCAATTCTGTTCTTGCTTGCAACTGAGCCTGCTCGAGCTTGAGTTCGGCTAACCGCTCTTTCGCCTCTAACTCCGCGAGGAGTCTCTTGCGTGAGGCTACGGAGCGGCGTGACCTAGTCTCGCCGGGCTTCAATGTGCACTGCGATCTTTGATCACCCTCTTGCTGGGTTTCTTCCGTTGCGGTTGTTCTATCGGTTGCCGAGGTAGCGGTCGTATCGCTGACCGTTGTGGTTTCGCTAGTGGTGTTTGTTGAACCACTAGCGGCTGAGTCGCCCCCGGAGGCCTCTTCTGTGGCCCCCTGGGTTGTTTGTTCATCCTTGCGACGCTTCGATGATTCTCCGTTGTTACTACGCGTAATCACCATTTTTCTTCACAATAATATTTTTTCGTTCTTGCGGTTTGCTTCTTTCTTCCGGCAATACCAAGACCGATATTGTCTTTTTCTTCTAGTAATCCGGCTTCTCGAAGGACCATTAATATTACGGATCGCCGTAATGCCGTGCGAAAAATGGAATAAAACGCGCTGGTCTTGCTTTTAACTGGAGGCAAGCGGCGGTGAGGAGGAACTTGTACTTTTTCTTTTCTTGCTGGTGCCTTTTCGGTGGCTGGAGAGCGACTGCTGACCCTAGTTTTTTTTTTTTTTTTTTTTTTTTTTTTGCGCCCGAAGCAATTGGAAAAGGGCTACCCCGAAGGGAGGCGGAAAATGCATTACGCATACCACGATGGCTATCCATCGTGGTTATGTGGGACTCACTGCCTACCGGGGGACCTAAGTGATACCCACTAAAAACCGCCTTTGGGGACTGGCAACTAGCTCTATTAAAGCTGCATATGCCGTATCGTAAAGCGACCCTCTTTTGGGAAAAGAGGGCGCAGGCGGCTATAAGCCGCTGAGGGAGTGCCTGGGAAGGCAATTTGATTGTAAAAGGTTAATTATTTATGAAAGTTTAATTATGAAATTGACTGAGCCACCAGGAGGTAGTCCAGATCGTTTGACAGAGAATAGGCGTGTTCGAGTGGGAGTTCCTCGGCCTGCGGATGCGATAGCGAGAGGGAGTGGGGTTGCACACTTAGCTACCTCACGAACGAGTATGTTATTGAAACTCTGAGACTTTAAAGAAGTTTCAGAGAGTTTTAATTAGTGAGTGCCTACGGAGGCAGTTTTAACCCGACGTATTTACCTTTCGATGAAATGATTAAATTAATTTTACAATGTACTTAAAAGATTATGATGCTCTGTAAGAGCAAGGAGTCTGTCCTGAGGGGACTTGGCAGCGCGCAATTTGCGTGCTAAGACTGTGATCTCCCCAATGTTGATGTTCTTAATAGCGGCGTACACCGTATTTAGATCATCAGCCACTGAGGGTTGTTCATGCTGTGCAGCGGGGGACGACCGCGGAGGGTCGGCCTTTTTGGGTCCCCAGGGAAAGACTGGAGGCTGTAATGGTTGCGAGAAGCCCGGAGGTGGGCGAAGAAGAGGGGGAGGGACCCGGGTGGGCCTTGGGTCTACCTGAGATGGGCGAAAATATCTCCTAGGTGGCAATCTTGACGGGAGGGCCGGGAATGACTTAGCATTAACCGGTGGTGGAGCGTGCCTAATGGGGCGGGGGTGAGGTGCGCAAGGGCAGCCTCTGTAGTTAGCCGGGTGGCCTGTTTGTTTACACAGGACGCACGCGGGTGGGGATTCGGCGTTTTTGGGCCGGGGACACTCTTTCGTGTTGTGGGGGTCGAGGCACTTAACGCACCTGGGTGGGGCGGAGCAGTTGGCCGCCGCATGACCATATAATTGGCAGCGGTGGCACTGCGCCGGGTAGCCGCGCCTATGTGGGAGCTCAGCCCTAACTCCCGACAGCCCACACACTGTGCGTAACTGCCGGAAGATAGTCTGTGCCTCCGGAGCGTTTGAAAGAATAGCGAGAGCGAGGGGGAACCTCAAGCCTGTTCTGCTGTGCATTTTATGCACAGCCTCAACCGGGAATCCTTGGGACTTAAGGTCCTCAAGGATTTCCTCGTTGGAAATTTCAAAAGGGACGCCTCGGATGACGGCCCTGATTTTGCGCTCTTCCGGAAGAGCGTATGTGTGATAAGAGACTTTTTCGGCTGTGAAGAGCCTGGTGAGACGACGAAAGTCGTCGACAGATTTAGGGATGATTTTAATAGCCTCCCCGAGGTTGGTGGCTTGGTCATATTTTATTCCTGCGTCGTAGCAGGTTTTGGAGAGGCGGGTGAATTGGGCCTTGTCTCGTAAGAAGACAGGGGGCGGAACTTGCTTCTTAGTCGGGTTAGAAGCACGGCGGGAGGCCGGCTTGGGCAGTGGTGTTACTGATACTGCAGCGGGAGCTGCGGGGACTGGGGCATCTACGGGGGCTGCGGGGGCGGCAGAAGCCGCCGAAACGGTTTTCGCGGCGCGTTTACGACGCTTGGAAGACACTGTCGTGAACTCTGATTCTTCGGATCCGTCTGAGTCAGACGTCTCCGTAGAACCAGAGCCCCGGAGTGTGGATTCTGAGTCGGAGTTGGAGTTGGAGCACTCCATGTCTATCTCAAGGGGCGCGAACGAGTTCCGGGACTCGAGGTAGGACGCTATAACGGGCGGCGGTGCCTGAATGGTGGTAGGAGCCATAAGGGCTGTCAAGGCTGCTCTAAAAGCTTGCGGGTCATTTTGGAACCTATGGAATGCATCGCGCACTTTACTTTCAAAATTCTGCGAGGACATTGTCGTTGGGGACTACGTAAATATATAAAAAGTTAGGGGGATACTGTTCTGAAAAGAACAGAAACGCAATCTAATAACAGTAAGGGCGGGATCACCGTTCTGAGAAGAACGGGACGGTTTTATTCTAGGAGTTGTGCCCTGGTTCTCAAAAGAACAGGGCCTTGCTCTGAAAAGAGCAAGTAACTCCCTTGAAACAATATACACGTACAATAAATAACAATAAAATAATTACAAAAACAAAATGACAATTAAAAAGCAAGACCAACAGTCAAACCGCCCCGCCCGGAGACAGGGAGGTAATAACTGGAGTTAGCGAAAAAGGACTCACCAGGCGTCGCACTGTATAGTGCGAGCAGGACAGCGGAGGCGCGAGAGCGAGAGAGCACTACCGTACGGGGACGGATGTGCGGACTACCTAGACGCGACCGCTCGAGAGCGGTGCCACAGGTGGAATGTCGTTGACCCTAGCGGCCGGCCCGTCTTTTATATGATTTGGCCGCTGCTGGCCAGCGGACCCTTGCCTCACCCCCGCGCCTATCTTTATTTATTTAATAACCTTACAAACTAATAAACATAATTCACTATATAATATTCTTATAACTACTTGTTAGACTAGGGTGTACATATCAATATTTTTACTTATTTACAGGTTTACATTATAATTTTCAGCTGCTTTAGGCGGAGAATCCTTCCCCCCGCCTCAGCACTATAAATATAAAACGTCGTGGCGCGGTGCGCGTGGCTTCATTTGCTCCGCGGCCGCGTCACGATAACATGCTCTTTGGTTACACTACTACTATTTTTTTATGTGCCTAACGGCCTAATATATTTATTATATAATAAAGTAAACATTTATTATATTTAACAATTACAGTTTTCATTTGAAGACTATGCTAACTCTCCCTGTTCATACGGTGCCTTTATTTGGGAGAGTTATTGCACATTTTTAAATAAAACTAATTTTACGGATTTTATCGCGTATATTAACTTATTTTTAACTTATTTTTATATTCCCGACGTTTCGGGTGCTTTCCAGCACCCGTGGTCACGGGGGACTGAGTTGTTTGACGTCCTACTGTCATAGTTAGCCCGGCTACCTTCAGTTTTTTAATATTAATTTTCGGTTCGATTTACGCAGAATGAGCTTACAGTATCTTGAAGTCTAGCAGTGGTATACTTGGGTTTGGATTTGATTTTATTAATTATGGGATCCCAAGCAGATGGCAGAACCCATCCATCTTCTCTATTGAAATTAGGATGTTTTTTAATTTCAATAGCCTCGCGAATCATCCTTGGGAGGAATCGGTGTTCTTTTGCGAGGATTTGTGGTCTATCAAATCTAATGTAATGACGGGGACAGTTTGTGAACATGTTCAGGATCGTCCCCGTCATTACATTAGATTTGATAGACCACAAATCCTCGCAAAAGAACACCGATTCCTCCCAAGGATGATTCGCGAGGCTATTGAAATTAAAAAACATCCTAATTTCAATAGAGAAGATGGATGGGTTCTGCCATCTGCTTGGGATCCCATAATTAATAAAATCAAATCCAAACCCAAGTATACCACTGCTAGACTTCAAGATACTGTAAGCTCATTCTGCGTAAATCGAACCGAAAATTAATATTAAAAAACTGAAGGTAGCCGGGCTAACTATGACAGTAGGACGTCAAACAACTCAGTCCCCCGTGACCACGGGTGCTGGAAAGCACCCGAAACGTCGGGAATATAAAAATAAGTTAAAAATAAGTTAATATACGCGATAAAATCCGTAAAATTAGTTTTATTTAAAAATGTGTAGTGTTCGCGTAAATATAAGAAATCATTGAGTTATTGCACAGTTACAACTCAACCTTAAACTTAGTTATAATACAATCATTATTTTTTATCGTTCGATACAAGTAATACAATTATTTACACAAATTATAATTTAAATTCAACATAAGGTTGCGCTAGTCCCGCCGTATAACCCTTGCTAGTTGTCGAACCAGAGGCGTGGCCTGATAATTACACCGTCGTCATGGCTCCGCCCACCGCTCCTAGGTTGTTCAACTAGCGCCGGTTACAATAAGCATTTTCTTTCGTTTGTTTAATATTGTTGCGTCGTGCACAAAAACATAATATCGAATTAAGGCTCAGCAAATCGAAATGTTTATTTAGATACCGTTTAAATAAATTAATAGATAGATGTACTAATCTAGTATAATAAATAGACGACAAACTGTATACTATTTAACATCATAAGATACACAGTAGGGTAAAGCTTACCTGTCTCACGACGGATGATCATTCATCACCATCATCGACGATCGGCGCCGACGATGCCTGCGCCGCCGCTGCCCGCGAAGACTACCACCACCAATGTTCACGCGCAGAACGCTTCTGTTAGTTAGGATGCAGTTTTTTTTTTTTTTAAATAAATAAAAATCTTCGTCTTCATAATAATATAAATTATAATATCTTACTTTGGATAATCATATTAAATGAAGTGATACAAAATAGAAAACGACATGTTTCGACAATAATATTATCTGTACTTTATATACACCTCGTTCAACCCGCGACATTATTTCATGGCGGGCTTTGAGTATTAAAATTAATGGGGGATTGACTAATTTCTCTTTTTTTTTTTTTAATAGTATGCGG